GCTCAGCTTTACAAGGGGCCATACCGTTTTCCAAGGTGGAGGCCTGATGGGCCCTGGAGCCTGTATTTGGTGTCCCTGAAGCCTTGTGCCTTGGTAGTGCTTGCCGCCTTGATTGGAGTTTTCTTTCTTACCAGCCTCATGGTTCTTGAAGGGTAGTTGATTATGTTTTACATTCCATTTGTCTGACAACCATGTTCAGTTTCTCTGCGGCTTCTCTTTTGAGAAGTTCCTAGATAGGACTTTGCCTACTTTTCTATGGTGTGCTTATTGCTTTCTTGCTGATTTGATACTAATATGCAATGTCTATTAGATATATAGTATATCAGATGTCGTAGGCCACGACATATTATTCACTAGCCATTTGTCTTTATATCCTAGGTGGTAGCTTTTGTGGTTCATTTCTATGGTAGTATTTGGTCATCAAGAATCTCAGGCATAGTTCCTTGGAGTTAATTAATAGTGTCCTCCATGTTAGAGCCTTTCTGTCTTAAGATAGCTGTCTATCCTCCATGGCCGCAAACATATCCCTTTCTCCTGACTATCTGACGATCATGGTTTTCACATTCTCCATCTCTCTACGCTCTATCTGGAACTGATGAACTGTTCTTTATTTGATGTGTTGCTTACTTCATTGTGGGGACCAGATAATGTCACAAAAGTAGCCAGAAGGAGGAAGTGCTTGTTTTGACTCCTTTTCTGTCACTGCCCGGGTTTCTAGGCTGAGCTCCCAGACAGAGCATCATGCTCTCCAGTCAACACTGTTGGTCCCCTGTCCCCTACCCAGTTACATAAGAAAACACTGTCCTAAGCACTTCCCTCCAGTGGAGCCCTCAGTGACAGCCCTGGGAGTCCAGCACCCTCCTGAGGTCGTTCCAATGGGGGAAAGGTGGGCTGATGTCCTAACAACAACATCTGGGGACCAACTTCAGCATTGCAGCTTTTTCTCCTGTGGCTCAGAAAGGCCTTTCCGGTTAGCTGCAGAGTCCTCGGGATGTAAACACAGGCGACCTGATTTTGCCCTCCACTTCCTCCTGAGTCAGAACCATTTGGGGTTAACTCAGGAAAGGGGCTAAATTAAGCCTTGAAACCCAAGCATCCTTGATGACAGGCAGTTTGTTGTGCTTGAGTGACTGCCATGATGGGTCTCTGGTTATAAGGACAGCACTAATCTCATCTCTGGAGAGCAGCCGTGGCCGTCCAGCTCCTGCCCTGTAGAGACAGGAGATACCAGGTCCCTCACAGGACCTGCACATACGTTCAGCATGTCTCGCCTGGGCACTGTGCGCTGACGTAGAGGCACGGGTGCTTCTGTCCTAGAATCCTCAGCGTCTAGAAGACAGCAAATGAGTATCAACAAAGCCCAGCACACAAGGGTGTTTGGAGACCCTTCTACCCAGAGCAGAACGAGGAGTAGGCTTCTACGCACCTTCCTAAGGCTTACGTAATGTCTGGACCACGGAGTGGTCAAAATCAAGGGGAAGGGAGCCAGTTCTCACTTACCGACAATCAAGCAGATGCCACAGCACTGAAAATCTGTTTGACAACACTACCAACGTCACACACATACATACCCCATGCCTGTTTTCTTCTGCGGAGTGCATGTAGCTATGAAGAAATTATATACATGTAAATTTTACATTAGAAAAAACATGAGTGGATATGGGACTGGAATTAAAACACACGTACTGCGGTATTTCAAGGGAGAGCTGTCAGATCTTCAATTTGCTTTGAAATGTTCTGAAACAGACGGTGGGTAGAGGGGGTGCGTGGATGTGTGTCGAAGCAAGCACATGCCTGCACACAGGAATTGTGGAGCAGGTGTGTGGATGCTCACTGTAAGGGTCCTCCAGCTTTTCTACATGGGAACTGTTCTCCTATGTAATGTGCAGTATGGCACCCGAAGATGAGTATCATAGGAGCGCTCCCAGCAGCGCTAGCCATGGCAACCCCAAGCCCCACTCTTCCTAGGTTCCTTTAATAGTAGACTGGACCCATCGGTCCCCGGTATGTAGAGTCAAGAGGCCGCCGTTCCTAAGAGAGACTGTTTGAGATAGGCTACACCCAGCCCCATAGGCAAGCCTTACAAAGCAATGTGGGGGAACAAAGCCAGAGTCCTGAAAGAGAATGTCTGTTTGTAAACATTCCAAACCAGGCAAAGCTGCCTATGGTGCTAGGAGTCGAGGGAGTAAGGGACGGTGGCTTTAGTGGATCACCAAGGGACATCCCTGGGGTTGCAGAAGGCTGGGTTTTTGTTTTGTTTTGAAATCTTAGCACTAAGGAGCATATCTATACTTAAGCTCTACGCTTAAGGATGTGTCCCTTTTCTCAGTATTGAAAATGGAAGGAAGAAAAGCCAAACCATTTTTCCCCGACTGTTGTCAGGGTCGGAACCCACCCAGAATGCACCTCTTCGCTCACTTACGCGCTCCATGCAGTCAGTCTCCCAGCTGTCGCTGGTGGGCTCTGTCCTTCGCACAGACAGTGTCCTGAGCTCAGCGTAGTGAGTTGCTCTGTGAGGCTTTCCAGGATTCACATGCACAACAGAAGGAGTGAGAAGACGTTCATGGGGGAGCCTCCTTCCTAAGACCCGGATTTCCAATGGTGATCTGGGGATGTACTCCCTAAGACATCATGTGACCCATACGTTAGGAGTCTCCAGAGAAACAAAACCAACGGTGTGTGAAGAAGCACATTTGGGTGGGCATGTGGTGTGTGTGTATGTGTGTGTGTGTGTGTGTGTGGTGTTTGCATGGGTGTATGTGTATCTCTGCACACATAGCAACACACGTTTCTTTTCACACGTATTGTCTTAGTTAGATTTCTAGTGTAGCAAAAAGCAACTTGAGGAGTAAAGGGTCTATTTCATCTTTCAGCTTACAGCCCACCATCACAGACAGTCAGGACAGGAACCTAGTGGCAGGAATTGAAGCAGAGGCCATGGAGGAACGCTGCACACTGGCTTGTTCTCTCCGGCTTTCTTATACAACTCGGGAGCAGCTGCCCAGGAGTAGCAGCTGCCCAGGAGTGGCAGCACCCCTAATGAGCTGGGCCCTCCAACACCAATCATTGATCAAGAAAAATGTTCTATGGACTCGCCTACGGGCAATTTGATGAGAGCGTTTTCTCAGCTGAGGCTTCTCTTCCCAGATATAGCTGTGTTTGTGCCAGGATGACAAAAACCAACCAGCACGCACGTAGCTTTCTCACCCGCGCTATCTCCTGAATACAGGAAAGCTCTTAGCTGGAAAGATCCAGTTTCCTCAAGGAGGAAGTCTAATCTGGTCTGTCCCTGGATCCCATCCCCCAAAGGCCCCATGTGTCAGCATATTTTAAATATAAGTGGGGTAGAAATAGACAAGGAAGGGTTGAACTGCTGACCTCTGGATGGCTATACTAACTACCCTAATATATAAATGTTATATATTACAAATGCACAAGGAGTACAGAGAACAGCAGAAACATACACCTCTCGTTTACAATGATAACAATGAACATTCCAGTGTTCACTGCCCCGCCTAACTTACAGGGAGTGATCAGCATCTCTGAAGGCCATTGTGCCCCAGGGATTCCTTACTGCTTTGGCTAGAGGAAGGCATTCTCCGGATTTCATGTCCGTCATTCTTTGTTACAGAACTCAAAACACACATTGCCCAGCAATGGCTGTTTGGAGCCTTCACAGATAGTCAGGCTGCATACATTCTGCGGATAGGTGCTTTTTCCCTCCAGTGTCTGGGCTTGGTCCGTGCTGTCGGGGACAGCTGCAGTAATGCCATCTCATTGTCATGGAATATTCCAGTCGTGCGTGTGGCTCTGTTACCACATGGTCACTGACGCACACCTGGGCAGCCTCCAGTCCTTTGCTGGGACAGCTGCTACTGCAGCTGGATGATTGGCCTCAGTCTCCAGGTACACAAAGCTGCGCTCTCTCTCTCTCTCTCTCTCTCTCTCTCTCTCTCTCTCTCTCTCTCTTCCTCTCTTTCTCAGGTGCACAGCTGGGAGAGCAGGTGCCCAGCTACAGACTGTCTCTTTGCTTTCCTAAGTAGTGCCAAATGGTGTTCCAGAACAATTGTGCCAGCATGTATTCCCACCAGAGACCACGAGAGTCTCTTGTGGGACCGCCTCCTTCACACCTTGGAGGAAGTGCTGACAGCCTCTCTGGGTACAGCATCACCTCCTCTCGGACCTGCCTACTCCCCTCCCTATCTCAGCCAGAGCTTTAGACCGTGTGTGTGTGCGATGGTGGTGCCCCTGTGCCCTCCTGAGCACAGAACTCACACTCCTCTCCTGGCTTTGACCCAGCATGGAAGCGTATACAACCTCCCCACTCGCTCCAGTGTGGCTGTGATAACTGTCTGTCTCTGCTTCATGGGAAAGAGGAGAGCAAGCCACACTGAGGGGGTGGCCTGAGGCTAGACTCCAGGGTGTATGTCTTTATGTTGTTAATATCTCATCCTTGAAATTTGTAACTTATGTTCTGACACTATGTGCATGCGTGTGTGCGTGTGTGTGGTTGGTGGGCATGAGTGTTTGCACCTGCACATGTGTTCACACATATAGAGGCCAGTAATCAACCTCAGGCTGTCATCCTTAGGAAAGTTGTCCATCTCCTTTGAGACTGTATCTTTAATTTTTCTGAAGCTAATGTTAATCAATTAGACTAGACCGACAGGCTAGTGAGTCCCTGCAGTCCTCCTGTGTCTCCATCCCCAACACTGGGGTTCCAAGTATGCAGGCTTTGTTTGTGGGACCTGGGGATCTATTATCAGGTCCTTGTATTTGCAAGGCAAGCACTTGAGTGGCTGAACTGTCTGCCTAGACCCCATGTTCTGCCATCTCTCAGTGAGCAAGAGAGATGTATGCCAAGATCGTGTCTGATGCTGCAGACGTCACTACCACCCATGGTCCTAGTCCTGAATCCTGTAGTCACCCCACCTGTCCACCTGGCCTCAGCAAGGATGCTGAGAAATGATCTCTTTCCGCTCTGTTTCTCGTCATTCCAGGTTAGTCTGGCGAGGAAGATAAAGACATTTGCAACCAAGATGGTAATCACGAGTGGAAATGATGAGGACCGGGGAGGCCAAGAGAAAGAGAGCAAAGAAGAGAGTGTTCTGGCCATGCTGGGCATCATTGGGACCATCCTGAACCTGATCGTCATCATCTTTGTCTACATATATACCACACTGTGAATGGCCCCAGGCAGCCTCGGCTGCCTCAGGATGGCCATGAGACAAGGGTCCTGTGTGTCCACCTCTCGGTGACCAGACACTGCAGGGGGCCACACCTGCTCCATCAATGCACCTTCGAACTTTCTAACAGGTCGCCAAACGAACCCATCCTGCTGTGAGGAGCAGACACTCTGAAGCACAATGAATCCAACGAAACTCATTCAGGCCACAAGGAACTTCTCGTCCCTGGCAGGGGACCTGGCGGGATGCTGGAAAGACCAGCCTTTGGCACGAGTGGTGAGCCGAGGGGTGAGGGAATGAATGCCTCACCCTGGAGTGCTGACCACATCCCACACTGGAAAGGAGGAGGAGTGGGGCGGCCGCAGCTCACCTCCCAGGACCCGCTCTGGGGTGGTCCGTTCACAGGCATCCCATTCGTCAAATGTTTCCAGCTGTTTGATACGGAAGATAACTTATTTTTCATTTTTCATTGGCTTGATGTGTGTATCTGTTCATATCAAGGTTTATAAATATATATTTTTAATAAATGTGCTCTATTTTTTAGCATGAACCAAATATTTGGAGAAGCACTTCCGGATCCATAGCTTTTCATGGTTTTAATCGCTTTGCTCCATCAAGTGCAGCACACCATTTCTGTAGCCGTCCTGGTGTCTCAGTTCATCTCCTTTGCTCTCATGCTCGCCTCCTCCCCATCTCCACCTCCGCATTCTCTCTTCTCCCGTTCCTTCCCACTCTCTCCTCTCCCTTCTCCCTCTCCTCTCCCCCCATTCTCTCCTCTCTTCCCCTGCCTTCGTCCCTTCTCTCCTCTCCCTCTCTCCTCCCCTCTTCTCTCCTATTCTCCTCTCCTCCTCTCTCATCCAGAGGACATTTTTTTCCCCCGTAATACCAGCCATGGTCTCAGCTGGTGCATGTTCCGAGATTGTCGAGTGGTTTATGTTGTTCTGTCAGCGATCTAAAACGATTGTGGGCATGCAGACCTTAAACGCACCCTGTCTTCAATGAGAATTATGCATGCACAAGGGCTGAGTGACAGATCAGCTTTCAACGGGTTTTCAAAGGACTGCCACCGAGGAAGATGAGTGTGGCCCTGCCTGCAGGTCACCCGTGGGATGGAGCGGTCAGCAGCTCACCGATAGTGTTGCTCATTCACCCCTGCAAACCATTTGTTTCTCAGATTTTGATTTTTTTGTGTGTGACCGTGAGAGATGAAAACGGGGTAAGCTCAAAGTTCAGTGTGCCGCCCCTTCTTTGATGAGATGCCTGGGTGGGGCCAGGTCTCTTCAGAAGTTGGAGGGATTTGAATGATGTGAGGCCTTCCCACTGGGGGAGCCTGTGCACAGTCAGCTCCTGTTGTAAAGATGCCACTGTGACAAGTAGCCCGTCAAAGGCGTTGGAAGGGGCTCAATGATCTCTGTAAAGGACCCCTTGCACATTTTAAAGCTGGTTCCCATCCACATGAAGCTATTTCCTCTCTAAGGGGTTGGTTGAATAAATAAAACTTGCCCTGCTCCCTGGCTCCCTAGCACAGCCCCAGCCTGGCTGCCGTGGACGCCTTAAGGACAGGGTCAGTGTTCATTCCGCCACTGGCCGAACGGGCAGCAGACTGCCCCGTTGGATTCAGATGACACTGATGGGGTCTCTGTCTGCCCCCTTCCTTAAGCGGCACCACGGCGGAGTCATTTCTCAGGCTCCACTAAGGGACCAGTCTCTTTTATAAATCAAATACCCGTGAACACCTGGCTCTGGCCAGAGATGTCTCCTTCCCACCCGAAGGAAGGACACTTTGTACACAAATCACTGGGCCCTCTTAGTAGCCCAGGAAAAGGAGAGTCTCACCTGTGTTGTAGAAGAAGGAAGGAGAGCTCAGACCAGGAATCTTCCCCAAGATTACCCGGCATCCAGTGGAGTCAGATCCTAGCCCAGTCTGCCCAGTTCCTTATCCCAGCCAGGGTGGGCAGGAAAGGCCTATTGATTTGCGGAGGGCCAGCTCTGCACACCTCCCCCCTCCTCCCCCATAACAGGAAACAACCTGAGAACTTTTTGGACCCTGGCAGATTATGACACAAATCCAGAGAGGGGCAAGAGGCTGGGTAGAAATGTGAGAGGCGCCCAGAAAAGAGCGCCACCTACAGGCCGTGTGATTCTGGAAAATCTGTTATTCTGATCAGTGAACTGAGCAGACAATAAAGGTGCGATGGGGAAAAACCCACTGGTGTCGCCGACTTCCTTGTGAGCGTTCGTGTAGTCGTTTTATTTAATAAAACTCGAACGTTGCTGTATTTATTTAATTTAACTTATTTACTTTGACACAGGCTGGCCTTGAACTTGCTATGCAGCTGAGAATGATTCTTCACCTCCCCAGTACCAGGATGACAGGCACGCGCCACCACAGCCTGACTGTGACTCCACTTTAAGTAGAATTCTGTCTGGTTTGAACTGGACAAGCCTCAGGGACTTTTGAGGGTGCTGATTAGGAATTCATGGAAGAGAAGGGGGGAGTCACTTTTAAGAGCCTCACCATAATTTCCTGGCCATTTTTCTGCCTGGCTCTGATCTGGAAGTAAAGCTGCCCTTTGCATGACTGACATACAGTGAGGACCATCCCTGCCCTTTGTGCAGCTGACACATAGTAGGGACCATTTTTGGCCCTTTGTGTAGCTGACACACAGTGGGGACCATTTTTGGTCCTTTGTGGAACTGACACACAGCAGGGACCGTTCTTTTCAAAGCTCCAGCTCCTGTGTCCACTTTGGCTGTTTAGTAGAAAATAATAACACCCACTGGGCAGGATAGCCATCACCTGATCTGAAGTTTGTGGGGGAATATTGGACCCAGAGGAAAGTACACAGCCTTCTCTTCCCATTGACTGAGTCAGTTTAGCTCAGCCTCAGCCAGCACCCACACTCTGCTTCCAGCACCTTCCACCCTCTGAAACACAGACAATCTTAAAAGCATGCATGTGACTCTCTCTCTAATATATCCTACATACTTCCCACAGGTTTGCCTCTAAAACCCAGGACAGAGATGTCAGGCACAACCAGCACCTAGACGTGGCTTAGGGTCAGCTTTATTAGCTGCTGTCAAGCATGAGAAAGCCTACTCACCTCTCTTCCATTGTTCTCCATGGAAACAGTGCGTTGGGCATTCGAGCGCTTTCCAAACACTGCTTCGGAAGCCAAGGCTGGTAATGCTACTGCTACATCCAGAGACGAGAAACACTGAGGAACCAAATTCCTGACTCGTATTCTTAAAGTCCCTTTCACATACCCTGTGCCTCACGTCACTGTGCATGGGACTCCTGCCATGGCGGTCCTCCAGAAAGACCACCTTGTGATCGGGAAGATCCTCCCACTGTTATATAAGGGTTCTTGCCTCTCCTGGAAAGCAGATGGAAGGAACAGATTGCTCATGCTTTTTGTTCATAAACATTTGACACACATCCACGGATGCTTTCCCAGAAGATGGGCTGTTTTACCCTAAGAAGCAGAATCGCACAGCCTCCTTAAATTCTCTCGTGGAAAGGCATGCTTCTTTTCTCTACTTCCAGGAAAGAATGGAACAGAGTCAAGAAGGGTTGTCTCAACAAGAAAGCCTTTTATTAAAGGTGAGCATACCTCCCAGGTACCCTGAGAGTTGGCCTCCCACCTGAGTATCCAGCTCTGTCATTGGTCCTGGTCTCCTGATGACCAATACTACTTTATGTCCTACCTAGCCAAATTCGGAAAACAGAGGGACAATGACAGAATAGTCCTAAATGTTGTAGGTCAATAATGATGATGATGACTATGACGATGATGATGATGATGATAATTACCACCAGTTGGTTTTGGTAGCATCTACTGAGTTAGCAGTAAAGGAATCAAAGTTAGAATAAACACAAGGTTGAGTCAGTCCTAATTCTGGGAAGAGCTAAAAATTGTTCTCCACTTGCTCTTCATTTCTCTCATTGGGAAGGGGGATGGCCACCTCATAAAAGCCGAGGACATCCCAGATAGATTGTCCATGTGAACTAGTCATGAGTGAAATCTTTTGATCTATCCATCGTCACCTAGTCCCTGTGACTTCCGATCAAGCAGATGATTGAAGGTCCCTGCCCGTAGCTCTCTTCTCTAATCAGCAATAAACTCTCACGGCTTTGCTGGCTTCTGGAGTCCACAGATGGGCTCTAACTCTGCCGTCTGTTTCCGAGAGGATCCACACTCATGGTTCTTGGCTTCCCATCACACCACGACCACCTTCCTTCTCCTAGGGATTGTACCCACTCCCTTCCCACCACTGGAGGTTCATTATCTCCATCACCGAGGTCCTCACCTGACTGTGCCGGGCCCATTCTGTCTTTGAGTTTTGTCTTTGATTCTAAAGCATTCAGTTCTGTGCTTGTAACACTAAAGACTCCACAGTAGGACTTTGGGCTCTGAAGTTCTGAGGTTGCCTCAGTATTGAAGTGTCCTGTGATACGATGTTGGCTTAGCTACCCAAGCTCTCCCTTGTCACTTTTTTTCTACAGAAACAGTGGCGGATAATTCTATGACCTGTGGATGTCTGAGCAGTAAATGGGTATAGAGACCCCACTTAATCCTCCTCTCCCAAGACAGTCCCTCTTTTTTTTTTCTGAATACCAAAAAAGCCACCAAGAAACAGGAATAAAATATGGAAAGAAAATCTGAATTTAAGTTCTGGCTAAAACATTTATTGGCTCTTGACCTAGGACCAAATCCTCAATGTCATATGAATTAGATCTCACCATAAAAGCGTTTGGAAGCTAGAAATGTATGCTTTAACTAGCCATTAACGAAGTGATTAAAGGTTGATAGTATAGAGTTATATCAGATTGGTTCATACTAAGGAATGATACTAAATTCAGATTCAATGTCGTGGCAAAATCTTTCTTCTGTCAAAGTGGAATCAGGGATGGTGTCCAGGTCACCGACTGAAAGCACCGGGTGTGAAGACAATGGGGGTAGCTCCATGTCGGAGGCTGAGTAGTGAGCTCTCTCCAGCAGAGACTCGGTTTGTGTTGCCTCCTACTGACTAAGGAAACAAATGGAGAGAGAAAGGGTTGTGGGGAAGGCGGAGGTGTGGGGATCCTGAATCACACGGCAGAGTGGGAAGTACTTCTGCAGAGATTTACCCTTCTCTGCGCCTCACTCTCTTCCTTCTTCCCAGCGAACTTCGGAAACAACTCTGTGAGGTGGGCAGAGAAGATGGAGACTTACTTCCTGGGCTCCATGGCAGGGCTCAGGGTCCTACTGCCTGGTGCCTTAAATTATTGCACATTTATTTATTTAATTATTTAGCTATGCTTGTGCGCGCACGTGCGCGCGCGCACACACACACACACAGCATCTGTGTGGAGGTCAGAAGACAGCTCGTGGGAGCTGGTTTTCTCCTTCTACCTTTTGAGTTCCGGAGATAAAACTCAGGTCATTGGGCTTGTAAAGCATCGCTATCCACTGAGCCATCTCAATGTCTTTGCCGGCCACTTGTGCACGAAAAGACAGAGATGGAATGATAGCTGACAGCCACTAGAAGGGCTCCCTCTGGGTCTCTGGTGCAGTAGAAATAGCACCAACAGACACTAAGGGCCCAGATAGTGAAGTAGTTGGGAATAATTATCAACAATACCCTAGGCCAGTATTACCTTGATACAAAAGTCAAACAATGACCTTTCCCCCCAAGTACACTAATGGCTATCACAGGCATAGATATAAAAATCACTTTAAAATTAGCAAATCACAATCTTCAA